AAAAAGGGGGAGATTGTAAGTGCATCTAGTGCCACCCTAGTTGGTTTTGGAGTATTGACGACAAAGTTGGTTGAGGGACTAATGCGTTTGTGAGAATTGCAGGATAATGCAGGAAGTGTCCCTCATTGATTCAGTTTACCTACCGGAGCTGACCCCTAAAAATGTATGAAGACATTGAAGACAATGGTGGTGTGTGAAGATATTCACACTGAAGACTATGACATGAGAAGACATTGAATGAAGACTATGGAATGCGAAGACTGAGTTGTTTCATTGTTTCCTTTTCTTCTTTGTTGAGTCATAGGAACCACCGTACTGTTAAGTGGGGTCCAAGTGAACAAAGTCAGAGTGACTGAAGTGGTGCTCAACCCAAATCCTATGTCTTCGAGCGAAGACAATGAGAGCAAATCTTATCCAGAGCTGGATGAGTCAGCTTTGCTTATAGCCCAAGTAAAGTTGCCGTGTGTGTTTGAAATCTGACCGTTGGAACACGTGTCAGTTGCTTAGTGACCCAGGGTCATTTCGGACATATTAGGACGGGTTACCTTGTGGCTATAAATAGCCCACCCCCTACACCATAAATTGGTGGCTGTTTAGAGTTAGTTTACGGCTTTTGTCATTTTGAGAGCAACCCACCTCGAAGCCTTTGAGAGAGAAATCCTTGCGAGGACAAAGCCCAAACACCCAGAACCAAAGAGTGTTAGGCATCACTGAAGTCTTTCTGTCTGTGTGACTTGAAGACTTATTACACTTGAGGACTGTGTATCCTCCAGCCGGTTAGACGTCGCGTTCTGAGCATCCAAGAGTCATTGTGGATTGCCGGTGAACGAAGTCTGTGAAGGTTCGTAAGTCTACCTTGAAGACTTACCAGAGTGATTGGGTGAGGACTGTGTGTCCTTAGCTCAAGGGGAATAAGGTGAAGACACGGTCTTCTGAGTTGAATCTCAGCCTCCCTAACCAGACGTACAGTTGTCACAGCAACTGGAATTGGTCCAACAAATCCTGTGTCTTCAACAAGTGACTGGTTCTATCCCTTCCCTCCTTTACTTTGAGTTTGTCTTCGTGAAGTCATTGCTTATTTGTCTTATCTGTTAGACTTCATTGCTTGACTACTATCGTTGATTGGCTTCGTACTATCTTCCATCCTGATCCTTACTACCTAGCTGCTATTAGTCTTTGTACGTTCACATTACTGCATACTTGACTATGGCTTGCTTGTTGTAGTTTATCTTCCGCTGCATATCAATTAGGTCATTTCTATTGTTTGTCTTCAAAACTTCCACGTTTTGAAGACTTTGATAAAAATCGCCTATTCACCCCCCCTCTAGTCGGTAACTAGCACTTTTAGTCCCAATGACCTAGGAAGGGCTCACATGGACCGATGAGTGGGGCAACAACCCACATGGGCTGGTCGCACCAATCCCCAAGGCCCATGTTGTTTAAATCTAGACGTATGGTCTTATCTCTAAATTTAAAGGGTTAAATCTAGAGACAAGATCTTATCTCTAAATTTAAAGGGATTTCTCCCTTGTGGCCGGCCCTAGGAGAGTTTGGTTGTCCTTCCCCTAGCCTATTTAAATAGAGGGGAGGCGCAGGGGAAGCCATCCCTTCACCTGGCGACTGCCCTCCCCCCACTTCCTCCTCGCGTAGCGCTTGGCGTAGTCCTGCCGCAGTTCCGCTGCCACCACCACCACCACGCGCGTCATGCTGGCCTAGATCCCATCTACCTCTTCTCCCTCGATTGCTGGATCAAGAAGGAGGAGACGCCACCGAGCCGTATATGTGCACATCTCGAAGGTGTCGTTCGTGCAGTGCTCGGATCAGATTGGATTGCGAAGAAGTACGACTACGTCAACCACGATCTCTAGATCGTTAACGCTTTCAGTCCACAAGGGTATGTAGACACACTCCCCTCTTGTTCCTAGCATATCCATAAAATAGATCTTGGATTTTTTATAGGAATTTTTTTTGTTTTCCATGCAACGTTCCCCATCACTGACCTCCCATTCCGGCGCGAGAGGGCTCCTGCTGGCGTGCTAAAGCCGCCCATGACAGTGGACTTGGCCGAGTCAGCGTTTCATCCGTCATGAACTGCCAAGGCGAATTGCCTGGGTGCGCGTTGTCCGAGCAGCCGAAGAACCCACGCGAGGACCCTAGAGCATGCCACTCGAAAACATACGATGCGAAGGCGCTCTTCGCCCCTGAAGGCCCCCCAATAGGCGGGTACTCCAGCATCATTTATAAGAGTATTATTGATTTTCTATTTTGTGCGGCATCGGTTGGCCAAAAATATTAAGAGAAAATCAAGGAGGAAGGGGATGTGGGGTGGAAAAAAACGAAGAAAGGGAGGAGACGACGCGAACTGCTCTTTGATACGTAATAGAGATAATGCAAAATAAATCTTTGAGAGCGGCAATTTTGCGAGAAAGGTTTTTTGGGGGCCGAACTTCATGAAGGCCTTTATTTTTGAAAATTTCAAATTCAAAATTTTATGGTTCAAAAAATTCTGAAAAATAGTATGCGTGTATGTAAGGATGTAACTCACATGTGTGTAGAAATTCATGATGAAATACCCTGAGTTGCGACGTGTACAAAAAGACAAATTCATGACATGGGAGGATGAATAGTATCATGTGTTAAACATCCCCAGATTTGTCTTTTTTGCACAACCCTCATTTCAATATATTTTGAACTGAAAATTTACACACATGGATGTTATGCCTTCATGTATATCTGTATTTTTTTCAGAATTTTTTGAAATGTAAAAATATAAATTTCGATAAAAAATTCAAATTTGAATTTGGAGGCCTCACTGGAGGCCAAGCTCCAGAAGGGATTTCCGCAATTTTGCGAAGCACACAGTATAGCTGGTCAAATGGGCCGGTTTTTTCGGGCCGGCCCGTGAGCATGCCGGCACGACCCGCCTTGGACCAGGCACGACACGGGCTAAACGGGCCGGGCCAGGCACGCGGCACGCCTTGGGCCGTGCCTGGGCCTGGAGGCTGGGCACGCGGGCCGGCACGACACGGCCCAATTATGTTTTTTTATTTTTTTTATACATATATATGGCCCAACATGTAAAAATAGGCTAAAAAATGCTCAGTGCGTTAAATAACAGGTTAAAATTATGCAGCCCACCGTGCTAAACGGGCCAACGTGCCGGCCCGTTTACTAACTGGGCCGTGCCTGGGCTGCAGGCTGCAGCACACGGGCCGGCATGGCACGACCCGTATAATAATCGTGCCGTGGCGGGCCGGGCCGTGCCAGACACGATTAGGATGGGGCGTGCCGTGGCGGGCCGGGCCGTGCCAGGCACGATTAGGATGGGGCGTGCCGTGGCGGGCCGGGCCGGCCCGTTTGGCCAGCTATAGCACACAGAACGAAAGTCAGCAAAAATCTTCTCTGGGTGGAAAATGGAGAGTATTAATTCCAGTGGCAGAAAGGAGATCGAATTTCAAGCGCAGAGCCCACGTGCCGCTCCCCTCCGCTTTCCGTCCTCCAATTTACCACACCCAACGCCTCCCCCTCCCACCACCTTCGCTTGTTCGCAGCAAATTCCCCTGCTCGCTTCCAGTCTGTTCCCCTTCCGGCCAAGAAAGCTCATCGGTCGCGCGACGAGGCCACCCACGCGCAAACCCCCGCCGCGCCGCTCTGCTTCGCCCCAGGTGAGAACGGACGGACCGACGGAACCTCTCTCCTTCCTCCCTCGACGCCGCATTACCACGCCCGCCTCGAGCATTGGCACAAAACCCTCAAACCCTACCTTTTTCCCTTGAGCCAGGGAGGTTCTTCCTTACCCTCAAAAAAAAAAAAAGGAGGTTCTTTTTTCTTTCCTCTCCAAGAACATTTATCTCGTTCGGGGTGTGGTGCCTAGTTTATCTGTCCTCTTTCTTGGCTGGGGTTTTCTGCTCTGCTCTGATCGAACCGGCCGCCGCAATCGCTTCCTTTTTTTTTTCTTTTTTTTCTTTTTGCTCTGGTCTGCGTCCGATTTTGGACCCGGCTACGGTGGATTTCATCTGTCCCCTTTCCGTATCTTCTTGTGTACTTTGATTCCTGGCTCTTGTACTTTCCTCGATCCCTTTCGGGGTAGCTCGATTCTTCAACATTTTTTTTCATTTTTTTTTGAACTTTTCTTGTGTCGCATTATTGACGGGGATGGGGAGGGCTTGCAAGAAACGAACAAATGCAGGAAGATCAGAGCAGGTGGCCCCAAATTTTGCGGGAATGTGTTTATTTTCTTCTTTCCGGCCGGCTCCTCTGCTCTCCAGTTTGGGAGGAGCCCTGTTATACAAACCCTCGTGCATGCTGAACTTATCCTGTAGCTTAATCAATTGCATTACCACAGTTGTTAAACCTTGTTGGAACGGACACCTATGTTAGGACTTACGACATGGATGATTGGCTGTTTGCGTAAGCTATTGCGACCTCGTCGCCGGCCGGGCACTGGAGTTCACAATACAGATTAAGCTTCCTTTGATTTCTAAAAGATGCTTGTGGAATGCAGGCACTAGGTGTTATTCTAGTATTGAGTGTTGCACATGGTATATGCTGCATATTGTAAGATTGTATAGTACTATTACCCACACACATCTTATTAAATCACTTGACTTACACAGTATCAAAATTGTTAAACCGTGTTGGAACAGAAACCAATGTAATGATGGGGTGATTAGCTGTATACGTAAGTGATTACAACCACATTGATGCTCGCTGTAGTACGGAACACTACAGATTATTGAGTTCATCAAGTTCGTGCGATGCTTAGATTTAGTACAGCAAGAGGCTTGTATGGAATGTGTGACTGAACATGTACCCAGCTTCTCTTTTTGTCTCTTGTTTCCTGTGTTAGGCGTCATTCTAGTATATTGCTCATGTATATGCAACTGCATCTTTAGCTTTCTGTAATATTTATTAGAAACAGTTCTTAATATAACTTGATGAACACATCTTCCCTTTCTTTATTTCTCTCAAGGTTGTTGGGCTTTTCACGTCCCTTTGCAATGGACTATACATCGGATGGAGACTCAGAGCTTGAAGCTTATGGTTCTGACACTTATGCACTTCTGCTATCAGGAGATATAAAAGTGATGCATGATGGGAGTTCATACAAGTGCCCCTTTTGTTCGGTTGGAAATGGTGACTATAACATACATGAATTACTGCAGCATGCCTTGAGTGTGGGGGCTGCCCATGACCAAGAAGCAAAACAGAAGGTAGACCATCGAGCCCTTGCCAAGCATTTGAAGGATGAACCAGCTAAATTACATAGTCCACTGCTGAGGCCAATTATTATGGATCCACAGCCTCCTCAACATAAAAGGGATGAGCTGTTTGTCTGGCCCTGGATGGGTATCATAGTCAATATGCCTTCTGAATATGTTGGAAAAAGTGCAAACCGGCTGAAGGAGCATTTCTCCTGTTTTCATCCAGTCAAAGCGCATCATGTGTACAGCAAAGGTTTTCCTACAGGTAATGCTATTGTTGAGTTTGGCAAGGACTTTGGTGGGTTTAGGAATGCACGAATATTTGAGAATCAGTTTGAGAAGAATGGGTATGGGAAAATGGGCTGGCAGGAAAAAGAGCGCGGAGGGTCAGAGCCTTTTGGATGGATCGCTAGGGCAGATGATTACAATGCTCCAGGGGCAATAGGGGACTTTCTAAAAAAAAATGGCGATCTGAAGACGGTTGATGGCGTCGAGAATGAAGAAAAAAATAAAAATGAGAAACTTGTGGCCAGTTTATCTTCTAAGGTTATTGAAAAGAATATGCATTTAGAAGCACTTGAATGTGAGTATCAGGAGAGAACTGTGTCATTGCAAAGGATGATGGAACAGAGGGAACATCAGGTCCAGTCATACAGCGAAGGTGCTTGCTAATCTTCTTGTAATTTATATGTGATATATTATCAATGTCAAGTAACTATATGCACCAGCTGGTTTCTACCTTCTTGTTGATCATGCGGTGTTTAAGCGTGACAAAAAGGCTGATGTATATTTTGAATTTCATCTGTCTTAGAACTCACAAAGATGCGACAGCGCTCTGTCGAACATACACAAAAGATTGTTGACGAGAACAAGAAGCTGCGCTTTGATCTTCAGTCTATGACGCATGAGCTTGATGCAAGGTCCAAAGAACTTGATGAGTTGGCTGCACAGACTGATTGCGATAGAAGGAAGCTTGAATTGGAGAAACAAAGGGTGAGGCATCTTGTCTTAGTATGATATTTTTCAATCAACAAGACCATATAGCGACTTGTAAGTTAGTGTAGTGTGTAGCTTCTTCTGTTCATGTACTTCTTACAGCTGTCGGTTACTATCGGATCTTCAACTGGCATTCCATAAAAATAAAACTAGTTTAGCACTCCCTCTGTAAACTAATGTAAGAGCGTTTAGATCACTAAAGTAGTGATCTAAACGCTCTTATATTAGTTTACAGAGGGAGTATATTCTTTGTTGACTTAAAGAAAAACTGGCATTGGGCGTCACCTTTTGTTCCAGATATCATGGAGCAGAACTTTTGGTGTTCGGATTGTTATACAGAACTAGCATGCTGTCCACACAAATGCATGTGCAACTTCTTTAATGTGTATATTTTTCTGAAAGAGTAATATCCTTTCGTGGAAAATCAATATACTAGATGGAAATAAAACAACCTTGTAAAAATTATTCATGAACTTAATTAACCATGCATCGCTTAGATTCCTATGCAAGATCGGACGGCCACCACGTGTGGAGCCCCGTTCCCTCGGTTCTACCGAACTTTTCTTGGATGTTCTGTCCATGGTGAGATGTGAAATTGTTATACGTGGTGTCATTAGTTCCCTGAGAACTCGATGCTCCGTGACTCGTTGAAATTTTTGTTTCAATATTGTGCCATTTTGGTTGCAAGATTTAAAAAAAAAGGGCAACCTGGTGCATGTAGCTCCCGCTTGCGCAGGGTCCAGGGAAGGGTCCGACCACTTTGGGTCTATAGTACGCAGCCTTTCCCTACATTTCTGTAAGAGGCTGTTTCCAGGACTTGAACCCATGACCTCATGGTCACAAGGCAGCAGCTTTGGTTGCAAGATTTAGCCTGTAAAAAATGATAATTTATAAGGAAGTCGTAAACTTCAAAAAGACACTTAATTTGTACGAGTGGCTAAGATGACTATATGGCATGGCCAAAATCGGTGCAGAACATGATTAGATGTCAAAGTGAACAAACAAGAGAAACTATGTGGCAATTTTACAGGGAAAACTATTTTTGTTTGATTGATATTATTACTGGAGGCAACTGCATGAATGGGATGGGTGTCACTCGGAGCAGCATAGTGGTTGCCTGGTTGGATCGTTGCTCAGGAGCCCAGGTTAATTTTGCTATGTGCCAATGTTCGGGTCCTATATGGCATGCCACCTCCTCTTGTTTAGTCTTTCATTCTTTGTTAAATTTATAGATTTTGCCTATTACCATACATACACCAGGTGCAATTTTCTTTTTTATCGTCTGAGTTTAAGTAACTACATATACTTCATAATGCAATCATTTTATTTTCAGTCAGTTACGAGAATATGTGGTCTGGAAACAGCCTCTTACAGAAATGTAGGGAAAGGCTGCGTACTATAGACCCAAAGTGGTCGGACCCTTCCCCGACCCTGCGCAAGTGGGAGCTACATGCACCGGGCTGCCCTTTTTTTTTACGAGAATATGTGGTGTGTTAGTCTTGTTTGTAGTGGCATACTTGGCCTTTGTTCAATAAGATCATGTCTTTTTTTTTGTTAGCACCATACTTTTATATTCTTTTACTTAAATATCCATGTAACACTCAAATATGACATGATATGTAACTCAAATAAGCAGAAGCAGGTTTAGGCTTAAGTCACTAGTTGGTTTAGTTTTCAATACATGTAGTTGGTTTTCTTTTCTACTTAGAGGTAGCAGGGCTTGATGGGCCAAGTCAAGTGGAGTGCCATATTATGAGATTCAAGGATTGTGATTTAACGATTATGTAGATTATTGAACTGATTTTTGCTTTTGTTGTGTTATTTTCTAGTCGTCCTCTCTTTTTCCTGGTTGACCCATCATGTTCTTTTAGTATATAATTGATGTAACTGAATCTACCATCTGAGGATGGAAGCATAATAATGTAACTAAATCACTTTCATTAAAATGTCATTTAAGTTGTGTTTTATTCTTGTACAGAATGCGACAAAGTCCAATCATCTTATGCTGGCAGAAATGGAGTATCAGAAAGCTAATGAGAATGTTCGCAAGCTTCTCGAACAACAACAGGTTAGTCCCTGCTGTGCGAATACATTTTCAAGCTGTTTGTTTTCAATGACACAAGTTTTAAAGATGTCTATCATGTGTATAAACTGCAGAAAGAGAAAGAAACTGCTTTAAACAATGCTAAGAAGTTGGAGGAACAGTTTCATGTGAAGCACAATCTTCAACTAGAAATAAAGCACCTGACAGGAAAATTGCAAGTGATAAAGCTCACACCAGGCAATGAAACATCAGAAACAGGGAAAAGAATAGCTGAACTGACAGAGGAGCTGCAAGATAAGATCGATGAGATGGAATATACAGAAAACTACAACCAAGGTCTGATCTTGCAAGAAAAAAAGGCTGCTGTTGAGTTGCAAGAAGCTCGGAAATTTGTGTTAGATGTATGCTGCTTCTAATGCTCTACTGTGTAATTTGAGTGAGTGCACTTGTTGGTTTTTGTATTCATGTTTTGTTTGATTGCAGGCTCTACAGGACTTGGGCGGTCAGACCAGTGACAAAGCACAAATAGGCATCAGGATGATGGGCGAGCTTGACCCAAAGGCATTTTTAAATGTGTGCAGGAAATATTTTCCAAAAGATGATGCGGAAGTTGAAAGTGTTAAGATTTGTTCAAAGTGGCAGAACGAAATTAAAAATCCAGAATGGCGTCCTTTTAAAAGTGGAAAAGAATCGGTAAGAAATCCTTCTCTGTTTGTTACCATATACCTGGATATAACAGTAGCTTGCTTACAAAGTTACTAGTGCCAAACATGAGGGAGTTCTCCCACCTGAATATATTACTGAAGGCTCCGCTCAAGGCTGTAAGCATCGTAAAAACGATTAGTTCTTTCAGCAAGGTATGTCCGCTACGAAGAAGCGGAGACCTTGTGAGACGGCTTCTTTAGCGGGTGTGACCATAAGGTCAAGTACTCAATAATAAGTGCAAGGGTGCTGGAGCCGTGGTGATCAATCTTGTCGAAGCTCATGGTGTTTCGAGACACCCAAATTTTCCATAGGATGACGAGACCAACGGTGGACCAAATAGAGAGGTCAAGTCCGATGGGCATCCTGCATGCCCATAAGTCGTCGATGCAGCGAGTAGGGTGATTTTACCACTCTGTCAGCGTGCGGGCACAATATGAAGATATGGAGAGCATCCTCAGGCCTTGTACAAGTACAATGCAATGTGCTAATTTGAGGTGCTTGGTAAAATAATCTGATTTTTTCTCAAGCACCAGTCTTGTCTCTATAGGAGGGGTGCCTAATTAAATGTCTACCCTTTACAAATAAGCACCAGTGCTTAAGAAAAACTGGTTTATTTTTCTAAGCATCTCCCCTAAGCACCTTGCATTGTACAAGGCCTCAGAGGTATGGCTGCATCTCGGGCATATGGCATCACTAGAGATGTGCTCGTGAAGAAGGTTGGCCTTGGAGTTTAGCCTGTCCCTAGATGCTATGCAAAGATCTTGACTTGGTTTGAGGCTTTAGAGCATCTCTAGCAGACCCTGTAAATCTCGCAAACCCGCATAAGTCCAGCGAGTATACGGGCTCGGCCCAATTTTCTGGCCAGAACAGAGCCCGTATACTCGTACGGCCCGTAATTTTT